TCATATAAGTTTACATGCATGTATATATATTTTAGGCATGCTTTTGACATAAATTTAAATCTTATCTAAGCTTTTGATATACAGAAAACTGTTGAACTAACTTTTTGACACAGATTTAACTTTAACATTTATATGTTTTTGATGCACAATTAACTGTTATACAATATCTATGCTTTTGATATATAAAAATTCTTATAACTTAGCATACCTAAGACAAAATAACAAAGTACCCATGATGAGGCATTAGTTAAGTAATGAATAGACTTATACTGGAAATGAGGGTGATAACCGTGCTTTTTACATGTAGTTAATTGTTAGAACTAAGCTCAAGACAAAGAAGCTCTTCATACATAGATAACTGTCATTACTTTGATTCTGGTACATAGTTAACCATTATAGCAATGCTATTGACATAAAAATACCTGACGGATCTATTCTTTTGATACATAGTTAATGTGAACATTTGGTGAAAATTGAAATATAATTTTATATCTATTTTATTTTGTTTATTATTTCTTCAGTGAAACAATTTTTAATCACAGTTTTCAAACACAACTAACTTTTTATTTTTTCTTAATCAGATCATTGCTTTGTGAACATGACTGTTACCTATTTACATAGGATTAGTGAAGCATTACACATTTGGTATTGATATAAAGTTAGGTTTGACAAAATGTTGGCCATTATACATTTGGTGTTGACAGAAAGTTCTGACATATGGTTAATATTAATACACCAAGTGTTGTTACAAAGTTATTTCTGATATGAGGATGACCATTCCACCTCTTGGGGATAAGAGAAATTTTGTACTAACATAAAGTTAAAATTTATAGATTAGATTTGATTGAAGGTTAACTATTCCACATCTGGGGTTGATGGAACTTTTGTACTGACATAAGATTAACTATTACACAGTTGCTGTTGACGTAAAGTTCAATTTTACATATGTTTAATGATCACACATTTGCAACTGATAAAAATTTTTTGACATAATATTAAAAATTACAAAAATGCTGTTAACATAAAGTTTGACACATGACTAATCCTTACACATATGGAGTTGATAAAAATTTGGTTTAACATATTTCTGATCTAGATTATTATATTACTTTTTTACCAAATTGGTAATAAAAAAGTTAATTATTCCAGATATGATGTTGATTGAAAGATAATTTTAACATCATATTAACTATTACATATCTAGTGTTCAAATGAATAGTACTCATTACTATCTATATTTTTACAGAATTAATACTGTCATGCAAATTCCTAATAACTCACTTTAATATAATCACAGCACCACTGACAATACTGTACTAAACACTTGAAATACAATTCTACATTTTTAAAACAATGAGCTACAACTGTTAATTTTTTTAAAATTAATAATTGAGATACATGTTAATGATTCTAATTCTTCACTTGATAACAGTTTGTATCTAATATAATGCACAAACATATACACTGGACATATTTAAGCCCACAGCCAACTGCTACAAACCAGACTTTATGGTTACAAAGCCGAAATGAAAGCCCCCCCTCCCAATTTGTAAAATATAGTGATTATCAGTTATTTGGTAACAGCTTGTGATTGAATTTGATATATGAAAATAAACATTTGTAAATTATTTATTTCAAAAGTGCTAAACTGTATAAGTAATGTAAATGAACAATATCAAATTCTATATAAGCAAACATGAAATAAGAAAAAGTGGACTAGAGGTTTTTAAAATAAAATCATTTGTACAAGAAAATGTATCAGAACAAACTACTTAATAATCCAATTACTTATCACACAAAAAATAACAGCAAAATATATCTCAGTATGAGATAAATGCAATAAATATACTTTCATACAGATTGTGCCCTAATATACAGTAATTTCTTTGGAAAATTCCTAAAGACAATATATACAACTATATATTTGGAAGCTTACATATATCAAAGAATATATATATATATATATATATATATATTCTTTGTGAACAGAACAATGTTATATGTATTGTCCTGTTAATACTCTTGTGTACATAACATTTGAAAAACATGTAGAATTCAAAAAAGGAAATAATTCACAATCAAATAAACTCAATAACCCAAATACTTTCAAGATGTCTATCTTCTGAGGTACTGTAGATTCTGACATTTCACCCTTGATGATCTTTGTAATAGTCTGACTTTTGGATAACCCCACTAAATTAGTTAGCCTTTGTCTTAACCCTACAGACAAGAGAGGATCAAGGTGCACATGGCACAGCCTTTTTGCATAGTTACATTCAAAATTTAATTAAACCAGTTTATTATTAATGTATGTTAATAAACTTGGCATAAAAACATTGTTTATAATTAAAATATTTATATTATCTACTTTTTAATTTCAAAAGGAAATAATTAAATAAGCTCTCAATTTGTGCCTCTGAGTCACATGACATGGTGGTACTCTGACTTCTCACTTTTAGATTTTTTTTATCTTCCCTTATAAAGTGCTGGACATACAAGACTGTTCAGTTTAAGAGTTATTATTTAGCTTATTTAGTGATTTAATATTTAATTATTATTTAGTTTTCATAACAAAAGTGTTAAAAGTTAATTATTTAAAAAAAATAGTTATGACAAATGTCGTTACATAACTCTGTACGAGTCATACATTATGTATGTAGCTCAATTGTTGTGAATTTACACCACAAGTTAGCCCAAGTTGGTGAAAATGAAAGTAAGACAAAGTTAATGAGAGATATAGATCTAGACTGTGTTTGTAAGTTTAGCCATAAAGAGTATATAGTGGCAATTTTTAAAGCATTATAATCAAAGATTGCATTGCAATAAACAGAGTAGAGAAAAATAATTTGTCTTGTCAATTGGGTTGTAAAGTAACTGAACCAGCTTGTTTGGACTTTTGACATAAAAGAGAATTATTTAAACCTCTGTATACAATTGTGGTAACCCACAGAGTAAAGTAAGTGAATTTATCATTAATAATATTGTGATAACAGAGTAGAGGAGAATAATTTGTCTTGTAAAAGGGTGTTCTGAATTAATTGAACCTGCTTCTGTGGACTTTGATGAAAAAAAGAGACAAATATCTAAAGTTCTGAATACAACTGTGATAACCAACAGTGTAACAAATTTTTGTAAATATGTTTGACTTGTTTTAAATATATTATTTTAAAACAAGTGGATTGTGTGCTGTCCATTTATTGCTAACAAGTCGTACTGTAAAAGCATCCTGGCCCATATAAAAACTCAACATAAAGATTTCAGAATATTCAACTAATTAGAAACACATACAAAAGACACTGACAAGACAAAATAAAAAATTTCAACCACTTATCTTCTTACCTTACTGAGATACACTGATACATCCCTCTTATATCCTCGGTCTTTTAAGAAATGTTTAAAGTTCTATCTGACATTTATATTGTATACATTTATAATAAACAGAAAGACAGTATTCTACACTACAAAAATCAGATAATTGTCTGGTTTGGTTTAACATTTAAAGCTGATAATTCACGGGGAGATGCATTTTTAGACTAAAGATGTTACTGTGAGCAGTAATGGAACTTTTTAAACCTATTTATTGGTTAGTTAGAAAGTCTTTGTTTGTTTGTTTTGAATTTCACGCAAAGCTACACGAGGGCTATCTGCACTAGCCATCCATAATTTAGCAGTGTAAGACTAGAGGGAAGGCAGCTAGTCATCACCACCCACCGCCAACTCTTGGGCTACTCTTTTATGAACAAATAGTGGGATTGACCATCACATTATAATGCCCCCAAGGCTGAAAGGGCGAGCATATTTAGTGTGACAGGGATTCGAACCCATGACCCTCAGATTGTGAGTCGAGCACCCTAACCACCTGACCATGCCAGGCCAGTTAGAAAGTCAGATAAATTATAGCAGTTCTAGGACATTCTATTTTGGTGCCTGATATATTTTTTGTTCTAAAATTCATATTTAAAAGCTACATTAATTATTTTTGGAGAATACCACACTGAGAAAAAAAAATAGGCTTACTATATCACATACCCTAGCACAAAAGGCTTCAAGGCTAAAGTAATTGCTAAATTTCTTGATTTTGGTGCATATTATTTTTCACTTATTGTTATATATATAGTTTTAACAAAAGTAATTGAAATATAAAAATTAGAAACTTATTAGGTTAGATAGGAAAATTTGAATTAAAAAAGAATAAAAAATCTCCTTGAGAAATACATGCTGGCTTCTGTTGCCTGATGCAAGTCAATAGTTTGTTTATCTTATGCTAGAGATGACAAATAGGTTTTAATTGGTGTGCCAAAATAAAATAAAAAGTGTTATATAGTTTCAAGGTGTCATATATTTATATATACCTATATTTTTTTAATTTTTAGAGTTACAATGTTACATGTATACTTATAAATACTTTATTTTTTATTTACTTAATTTTTCTTAGATCAATTTTGATGAAAGTTCTTTAATGTTTGTAAGCTTCAGCATGATGCAGAATGAACCAAGGCTCAGTTTCAATAAGTAAGGATTCAAACTAAAAACATAGATTCTTATATTCATTTTCATTTTTTTTCAGAAACTTTCCATCATTATCACCAAGTTTCAGTGTGAAAATGAAATTTCATTGCATGCTATGTTTAGCATTCATGCTATCTATTTGCCATTTTGGCCCTATGCTCTCACTGGGTGAATTATTGCTTTGTTATGCTAGTTAAATGTGGTCCAAAGAACAATAAAATTAAATTGAAATAGATGTGAAACTGTTAGGAGCCTGAAGTGGTTTAGGATGAATAATTATAATTGTCTGTTACAATCTGGGGTCATTCTAGAAAAAAAAATATTTTTTATTTTATTTTAGATTTTTTAACTTTCACTATAGATGATTTTGCTACAGTTGGTGTTAGGTATAGAAAATAGGAGATTAAGTAAAAAGTTTTATGGAACAAAAAAACTGATGCTCATTCAGAGGGTTTTATAGGTTGTGTAAATGAAATAAGAAAACTGTACGATGACACAAAGTATTTTTATTCTGTGCACAAAAATCAACTTTCACTCAGATTAATGCAATAAAGGCTTTGTACGTTCACAGACAAATCTTCAGTAAAAATACTTTATTAAAAAACCCGTTTTTTTCGTGTACAATATACTTGTAATGTTCACTCAAAGCTTGCCAAATTTCATGGAGATACATTTAGTACATTCGCAGTTATATAATGCACAGTTGGTCGAATTGTCCAAGCCCATCTCCATAGAGTGAATTAATTATAATGACTTGAATCATAACTAACCATTGATTTGTCATGACCATGTCACAATAGTGCCTTTTACTGAATCTACTATGTTAATATTGACCTTTTACTGAGTAATGACGACCATGCTATGTCAGTTTAAAGTTATTTTTTTTTGTGTCCTAAAAGTGGAAATAGCAATACTTTAAACCTAATTACAAGTTGTTGTAAGATATCTGGAGTTTTAATTTTTTTTGTGGAACTAAATTGATTTTACATATGAATGAAGTTTCAAGCAAAAACAATGAATATTTTTCAGTCCCGTGTGATGTTTAAGTCTGACAGGAAAACTACTTCAAAAGCAAATTCTAATATATTTAGAAACTATACTATTTGATTTTTCCTTTTTAAAAACATGAAAAAGAACCTAAAATTATACAGCTACTTTTACTTGCAATTTACAATAATTAATCTGGAATAAGGGTCTAGGCCAAGGTAGTTTTCATATGTTAACATATTACAACTTCTAGTACATTAAGAGTAGATTAAACAAATACATACAAATATTATGCTCCTACTACATGTGCTTTAAAACTGTTTTCTAAGCACAAGATTCAGAGAACAGGAATGTGTTTATATGTCTTACAAAAGCACAATAGCTAATATAACCCTATTCAATTTATACAGGGTGTATGGCTACATGTCAGAAAGCATTGTAGGTAAATTTCTAGGATTATTTAACTCCCAAAAAATAAGAAGTAATTAATGGGTTACTCTTATTAACCATTATGCAAGTTCTATAAGTCTGAGAATAAGAGGCTCAACTCTTTGTTTATTAAATGTTCAGCAACTGCTGGAAACCTGCATACCTCAGGGTTAGAGGCTTGGATTATCTCTATTGCATATTCAGGAACTTCTTGAAACCTCTGGATTAGAAACTTAGATTACCTCTATACTACATGTTTAAAAACTCTAGAAACATATGGATAAGAGACTACAATTATCTTTATTTTATGTTTAAAGACTTCTTGTATCCCTGGATTAGAGGTTTGAATTGTCTCTATAAATGTTCAGGAACATCTGGAAACCTTTGGATTATGCGAGGCTGATAATGTGAAGTGTCAGAGACTATAAACAATTACTACTGTACAAGAATAAATATTAGCCACTAAAAAGAATGTTTACACCTGCCTATGCTAAATAAATCTATGAAACAAATAATTCTGTAACATGTAGTGTTAAAAGTAAGTTGACAGACAATGATTTATAAGTATTATGAAATAGTTTTATTTTGGGAAACATACTACATATTTTGACAGAACAATGATCTTCATACCTAAAAAAGACAGATCAATGTTCTGTTGAAACATGTCATTTGTTCCCCCAAAATAAAACCTCTTATCTCTAACCTCTCCTAAGTATAAATTACTGTAGTTGTGGGTGATAAGACATTAACCACAGTAAGAGAACTATTAGACACTTTAGATAATCACTGAAAGCTTATATCTATAATAATCAAAGTGGTACAAAATTAGTATTACAGTTCTATTATACGACTCTGGCATTTTCTTTTCTGCTCTTGCAGTTTTTCAAATTCTTCTGGATCCATTGAGGCTTGTTGACTGTGACTTCGACTCCCTGGCCGAAGATTCATTCCAAAGCTCTGCACTCCTTTAGCAACTTTTAATAAAGGTGAAAGAACATCATCTTTCTTGATTACAATGGGTGACACTAATGGATTAGGCAAAGTGAGTGGCAAGAGAGGAAAGTCCTGGATTGCACTCTCACTGTGTGATGTCTTAATTTTGCCAGACAGACTATCTGGATTTAAAATTACTTCTGGCTGAATCAAAAGATGTGTCACTTTGTCTGAAGTGGAGGAAACAATGACCTTCTTGATATCAATTTCTTCAGATGATCGAGATAATTTTCTACCATGGTCAGGCTTCGTAAGAAGAACTGGTAAGTTATCCATTTGCATTATGAATCCAGCTCCAGAATCAGTGTTAATCTGGATCTGAGGAGACAAAGAAGCCGGTGAATTAGTGGCAGCCATTAGGTCTGGAGCATCCAGTGTCAAACTGGAGCTGTTCTTTAATGTATCTTGCAAAGATCTTTGTTGCAGATGCCTCACAGATGCTTTCCTCATAGCATCCAAAACAAAATCATCCATATCCAGACGATGACAATGTTTACTCCATTTTTGTTCAACATCTACAAATTCAACACTTTCTTGATAGCACAAAGATGGACCAGTAGCCAGGATACCACAACTCTTTAGAAGAGTATCTTGAGTCCTCTTCTCATGTCGGTCACTAGATTCAGAGAATTCTAAACTAAGGAAATATTCACTGATGGGTCCACTAATACTCTGCTTCTTGGAATGAATAACATGATCATATTCCGAGTCATCCTCTGAATTATCGACTTGGATTAAAGGATGCTGTTTCTGAAAATTATATTCAAAGTTTATAAAATACAAATATATTAAAAACAAATCAATCTAAGTACTGGATTTGGATAATAAAACATATGATAAGATTATCTTGCTAGACCAACTGAACATTCCATCTACTTGCCATCTAAATGCATTCACTGATAGTTTCTTAATGTTTATATTTAGAAATTCTTTAAAAGATGGGTATTCTAAGAATACTGCATTTATTGAAGTTAACAATGGTCTAAAACCCCACAGTATACTGTAGTATATTCAGAACCATGCATAATGATTAGTGGCTGGCACATCAGACACAGAAACATTCACTGAAACAGAACATAAGAAACCAAAGTACTGTCTGAAAATGAAACTGTTAAGACAGCTTCAGGTTGCAGAGTGATATAAATACAGATAACAGTGACCCAATTATGTCTCCAAAATGAGTTTATTAACCAAAGTTACTCATTTATATTTGTATACATTTTGAATATAAAACTCTTCCATGAACAGTAACAGCATTTAGGAAATTTTTGATAAATTTCTTATTAAAACTGTAAATTCAACATTAACAAACCTCATTCTCATTTGTGAAAAAATACATATAATTTATAGCAATTGAAATATTTTTCATCAAATTATTAACTTAGCAAAATATCTTATATTAATTTCATGCAAATTGAAATATTTTTTACAGCTCTATTGTCTCCAATAAAATTAGAAACACTTTGTACATATGCAAAACATTGTATAGATACTGATTATCATCTACACAATAAACACCTAGAAATGTCTGTTACAATAATTTTGTTACTGCAGACAACAAACACCTAGACATGCCTGTAACACTAATTTCTCTAAAACAGACATTCAGAAATGTCTGTAATGCTAATCTTCTATATTACACAATAACAACTCCAACAATAAACACCCACAAAGACCTGTGATGCTAATTTCTTTATCTCACACAATGAATGCCCATAAAAGGTGTTTTAATAAACTTTTTACTTTAAAAAATAATCACCTAATAATGCTTGTCATGTTAATTTTTCTGCCTCAAGCAATAAACATCTGAAAATTCCTGTGGCATAGCATTTTTTACACCTTTGACAAAAACAGCTAGTTGAAGCTTGTGATACTAATTTATTAACGTAAAAAAAATAAATAAAACAACACATCAATGAAATCATAGTAAATAGAAATAAGTGGACCAAAATGCAATATAGCATTAACAAAATTGTTGTATGGGAGTACCTCTAAAAAATATGGAAATCCAGGAGAAGTTAGAGAAACAGAAAGTATCTCAATCAAAAAAAAAAAGTAGGACATCAAGGGAGTACAGATAGGAAATTAAGCGTCTCAAAAATAAAGTAACACATAATTAAAATTGCAGTGGAAATAATAATAAAGCCAAAGATCAGGTAAGAGAGTGCAGAAGAAGTGAATATGTTAAAAGTTACAATGGGGGAGAAGTAAATGAACCAATCTACAGCATTACATATTAGAAGTAGGAGAGCAAGGAAGTAACTGTGTCAAAAATCAAAGTAACATATTAGAGAATAGAGAACAAGAAAGCAGCTGTGTCAATAAATAAAGTAACACACTAGAGAAGTATAAGTATGTGGAGGTAGCCTCTTTAAAAACTGCATCATATCAAGGAAATGACATAGTGAGAAAAACAAACATCAAAGGAGAAGTAGTAGTGGAAATAAATCTATCAAAACCTAATGATCAGGGAAGACAAAGTGGAATAATACTCAAGTAAAAAAATATATCCAGGAACTGGAGTAGGGAGAAGTAATTCTGTCAAAAAAGTAAAGAACCAAGTGGAGGTGGGAGAAGTAAATGTGAAATACTATAGCAACCTATCAGGAAAGTAAGAGTGGAGTGTAACTATTTCAAATGTTAAGCAACACAATATTAAGATGAGAATAAGAACACCAGGCTACCCGGTAATACTTGGCTCTGGATTAGTGTCAAAGTTAGGCATCTAAGCCCTAATCTTTGTGGCAACTAACGTAGTACTGAAAGTTACAGTCAATAATTGGTTTAGTTAAAAAAAAAAAACTTGTTCCGAGCAACAAAAACTGACCGCCCGCTGAAAGTCAGGGATTCAGAGAATAATAGGGGTTAATAACAGGCATGGCTTGAGAAGTGAATTTCTGGAGAAAGTGGGGTTTTTGAGAACAATAGGGGTTAAGCATTGAAAGTGGAAAGTAAAACTTGAATGTTCTGTTGGTAATTATTTGGCTAGATGTAATAAACGTCAATTTTGTTTTTGTTTCTAATTTTTATGTACGTGTTGTTTATTCTTTTGGGGGGCAAGGGGAGAACCCGGTCCCGGTTAGCACCTGACCCTGGCCAAAACTTAGTGACTGGGTACCCGGACCTGGTATTCGGCCAAATTTTACTACCTGGACAATGGAAGTGATCAGCCAATGAGTAAGTTAATTGACAAATTTGATGGGAAGACACCTGGAAATTCAGACATGTTTCTCCATCCAACAAAAAATATGCTAAATGGATAAGCTGTTGGATCCATCCAGTGAATGTAACAGGAGTAAGACTGTGATAAAATGAAGGAAGAGGCAAGACTGGGAACTGTGAAAGGAAGAACTGCAGGCCAAATTACAACAAACATCAATCAGGACAGAGGTGGCAATCAGGATTGGAAATGGAATGAAGATAAGAATGGAAGGAAGAGATATAGGGGTGAACGCTCTAACCCCCTATGCACCGCAAATGCTTTAGAAAGAAAAGCACAATCCAGATCGAGAAAGATATAGGATCAATGGGTTAGAATGTGAGAAGGTTCAATGGTGTACCCATTAGAATGCAAATGACCACATGCAAAAAGGAAAACATTTAAGGGACCAATGGTATAAGAAACAGGAATGGTTCAAAGGGAGATAGGTAAGGGCATGGAGAACAAAATTAAGGACCCTGTCAGATAGGCTAGAAGAATGAGGAGGGCTGGGGAGGAAAAAAACAGATGTAATGGGAAAACTGGAAAGTAGTCAAGAGAGTCACCTGGAAACCAGCAATAGTCGAAATAGACCAGCCCTAGTTGAGAAGTCTGCTGAGACCAGCAGTGATAAATACATTACTTCTGCTGATAAACTTCTAAGAAGAATGAGTTAGAAAAAGTCAACACGTAAAATAAGTCCTGACCATCATTCAATGGACCGGACAAATCCCACACATGAAACTAGAGTGATGATATGGCTTGATGGAAGAGAGAGAAGTACAAGGATGAAGAAGAAGGGAGTGTGAGAGTACAAGAAGAAGAGGAGGAGAGGAAGTCAGAAGGCTCAGTAGAGAAAACCACAATTGGGCTGGCCAATAGGGTGCCCCCAGAAGTACCTGACGAATGAGGGTGAGAACTTGAGGGAGGAGACAAGTAGGGGAAGCACAAATGAAGAGATTGGAATATTCCTCACTGAATGCATCTACTGCCAGTGCTGATGTAAGTAGAACAGAACAGGAGACCTGAAGAGGGGAAGCTAGGCGTTGTCATAAGTGGTAAAAGCATCAATGCAAGAGAGAGGTTCCATTGAATGTGTAGATTGAGACTAAGCTTGAGAGTGATAAACAGAGGACAATGGATCAGAATCCCAAGCATGGAAAAGAGGCTCCAGAGTTTGAGAGTTCAAGAAAAGTGCTTCAGCTCGATTGTAAGCCAAAATATATGAGCAACTAGTTGAGGAGGATGAGGCATAGAGGTATCAGAGTGCAGTTAAGACAAACAATTGTTTTCAGCACGGATTTGGATATCAGGAGAAGGAGGAAGAATATAATATTCTGAAGAATGGGTTGAATGAAGAAGGGAAAGTAAAGAATAATTAGAAATAGGAGAGATTGGTAAAAGGGAAAATACCTGGAAAAAAAAGTCATGGAAGGACACAGAACGTTGAGTTAGATCCATATCTACTTTGAAAAAATTGTATGAAAATTTAGGCAACAGGAAAAGACTGCCTAAAATCCATGTCCTCCTGAATGGAAAATATAGGAAGAAACAAGTCTGTGTCAAGACCTGAAAAAGGCTCAAGCTGCATACAAGACTTCACCACCCATTGCATAATAGTCAACACATCCCCTGACAGACAAAGAAGCACCCAACACCATTGTGGTAGTCTGTCTAGAGTGAACAAAGTCCATATGTTTAACACTAGACAGCATAGAAGTTAGTGTTTGTGTATTTCATGTTGTGGAAAATAACAGCCACAATGTTTGCTGAGGCAGAATTGTTTGAAAATTAAAACAATAAATATTTCAACAATAGTTTGATGTGTAGATACTTCAACCAAACATTGTTGTTGAGAAATCTCATGGGGTAAAAAACGACATGTATTAACCCATGAGTGCTAAACTGAGAAGTGATGATTGAACAATCAAAATAGAGAAAGCTAGCTGTACTATGAGGCAATTTCACACTCCTATCGGTGGAAGATTGTCACATGCTCATTTGCATGCAACAACATAGCAATATCACATGGAAACATGTGAGATTAGGTGGAAGCCTCAAGAGTAGTGGGAGCAAAAAAATTTTGCATATATAAGGCAGCACTGAAATGGGAAAGCTAGATGTGAATGGGGGTTACATATTGTATCAGAAGTAGGAAAGTGGGAGAAACTATATTACATGCAAAAGAAACACATCAGAGAATACGAAGTCAAGGAAAAGAACTGTGTATGAAATTAAATAAATGCATAAAAGTACTGAAAGTGAGGAGGAAGGAACAGTGCCAGAAAAAAACAACAGATTAACACATTAGAGAAATAGGAATGGGTGGGAAGTGAATGTGTGAAAATAAAGCAAATCATAAAAAAATTTGGAGTGAGAGGAAGTACAAGTTAAAATTAAAGTACAAAGATGGGGAGTGTTGGGAAAGTGGAATAAAAAATAAGAAACAACAGGGAATTGTAAGTAAATGAAATAATTCAACTCATCAGGGAAGGGGAAGATGTAACAATTATTGCAGATATAAAATTGATTGCAAACATGTACTTGAAGCCTATGAAAATCATTCTAAGTTAAATCAGCAATTCAATCCTAGCAAAACAAGGAGACCAAAAGCAGTTTCAAAATGTAGAATAGAAGCACACAGAAAAATATTTTCAAACTACAAAGAACTTATGAAAAGCTAAAGCCTAATTGAAAAAATCTCACTTAATTTTTTGCTCATTATTTACTACATTCAATTTTAAATATAAGCTTTTCTTTCATAAAATATATTTTGTTTATTCTACTATGCTAATTTTGAATAAAGGTATTTTATTCTTGCAAAAGAGTATTTTTATCCATCTATAATAATTCAGGTACCTTGAGCCAGCTCTAAATAAACCCCAATTGACAAAAACATTTTTGTGAGATGTTTTGTTCAAAAAAAAGAAGAAATTGACAACATGAGACTAAAAATTTAAAACAATCAATATTTTACTTCTACCTTCAGGACCACTCTCATATACACATAGTATACCCAGTGTTTTATTTGGTGTAATAGCAATATTTTCAGTCATGCAGATTAAAATATTTTTAATAAACAAACAGTTTTACTGAAAATATTCTTAGTGTGCTTCATTACAAGATACAGTATTAAAGCATGAAAACGCAGGCTGCGAATATACTAGGTGTAAGCAGAAAGTAGCAACCACAAGGTGAAACTTAGTAATTCATTTCAAAAAGTAGTACATAACTTGTAAATGGATGAAAGTCTCTAATGAAAGGCAATGGAAGCACTGGCAAAAGCTAATGATCTAAGATGTTGGTTAGCATTGTCTGATCTCAGTCAGCTTGAATGTGTAGAAATCTGTTGCAGTTTCAACTCTCCTTCCTTCCTATTGGAACCAGGTGCTTTCCATGTGGCAACCAGATGGTAGGAAGAAGAATGAGACTGAGTCAGAGAATGTTGCATATGTTCTAGATGTACATCAGGGACAACAGAGAGCAGCATGTGTAGCCATGTGTTATAGCCCCCTTTAACCTACACACTCAGCTGAGCTTTTCATCAATTAGAATTCATTCAACCTTGTATTTGAATATGTTGAATAAGTTTTGTTTTAACGTATGTTATGTTTGCCAGTAAAGGATCCTGTTTCTTTTTGTAACATTTTGGTGTATTGTGTTAAACTGCCCCTTTCTAGCTGCACTAGAAGGGCATGTCACACTCCTAGTGGTGGAGGGTTGTTGCATGCTATAGCACAGCAATACCATGTGGAAATATGAGTTTAGGTGGGATCCTCAAGAGGGCAGCACAAAATTGAGGAAAGCTAATATTTGAGAGGAGGTAAGGTATTGTATTGAAATCATAAATTATTAGTTTATATAATTTTAGTTAGAACATGCTAAAACTAGTACCTTTCCTCAAATTATAAGTTCATTCTAATAGTTTTTAAATAACTTTGATGCTTGTAGATACATTATACCACCCAACAAAAATAACTACTATTAATTAAGAAAAAACTTCTAAAATGAAATCAGAAGTTTGAGAGCTAATTCTAGTTATTAAACAGGAAAAGCTAGCATAAAACTTACTTGCAATGTTGGTGCTTCAGTAGAAAGTGATGGCTGACCTATATTTTCTGTATGTTTCCCAAAGCCTCTCACAGTCTTGATGGGATTTAACTTGGCAAGCTGTGAGGTCATACTACTTAAGACTCTTGAACCAACATTAAGAAAATTCATTAGTTGACCTTCATCTACTTCGTTTTGAGGATGACCTTTACCAGAAGCCTGGAAAAATGGCAACTTGCTTTTTTTCCTTTCAAGCTTTCCTTCAAAGAAGGGGACATTTAATCCTTTCATACTCAATGCTACTCTGAAAGCCTCACAAATAGCCCTCAGTGATTCTGAAAGCCACAAAAAACATGACTAAGGACTGTTAACACTAACGAAAATTATTATACTGCTTAATATATCAATTTCTAAATGTATACAGTCAAAATATACTGTATATGAGTTTCGTTCTGAAACTCTCATATGAATGTTCAAAACATCTTTTACAATTGGAAATAAAAACAGTAAAAGTTTGTGTTTTTCTATGTATGTAAAGATAATTATGCTTTATAAGAATGATTCAAATATGTTAATACAACAGCATGTTACCATTCAACAGTGTAATACCACTACCTACACAATGTCAAATAATGTAAAAATGTAGTTCTGATACATGCTATTCCACTGTAGCTTTATATATTGGCTGTGGCTGACACATGGTTGATATCAATTAAAACAGTTGAGATAAGAGATATTCTGTAAGTGAAAAAATCACCTTGTACAAGATAGTTTACAAATGAAGTCTAACATGAAAAATCTTAGTTAAGTTGTTAATTTAAGGTACACAAAGAAACAATTTTGTTACAAAACATAGTTAACAGATGACAGTGTGAAAATTTTGAAGTACAAGTTTATACCAGTGGAAAACATGACATTTATAATATATATTTATGGAAACAACTCATAATAGTTTCACAAATAGAAACAGAATTCTAACTAAGCTTCACATATGGTTTTATTTTCCTAAAAGTTCCAAAAAATATGGTAATTTTTATATACAATTTTAGTTATTTCATTGAAGTATGTAAATAAGTTAAAAGATTTCTCCACTTACCAATAGCATCTTCATCACTCCTGATAGGTACAGCCATGTTATTGAAAAAACAAGTTTTTGGCATACGAAACATGTGAAAATAGCCTGACTGACCAGAAACAGAGTAGCAGAACCGTATACAGTAGTGTCTAGACTTGAAAATTGATGGTTCGGGGCCTAAAATTGGGTTGTAAAGACAATGCTTCAATAACCTCAGAGTATTTCAAGTGAAAAAACATATACGTATTATAGCAAATACAGAATAAAGTGTAACAAAGCAACTATATGATACACAGGAGTGGCTAGCAGAATTCATCTGTTTTTCTGATAAACTTAACACAAGATGATACAATGACCTGAAAATGTCAAAAAGTTATTTCATAAATTTTTAATATTTCTTAAAAATGATATAACAAAACAGCATTACATTCATAATTGGACATATACATAATTTTTAGAGCTAAATAAAATATTTAGTTTCCATTGTAATGATCTGAGGAACATTAGTAACAATAACATACAACTTCTTTGTGTCTTGAAAAGGTTTCTATGATATGTTTTACAATGTCAAGTTTTATGTAATGACAGGTGGCAGAAGCTCTAATAATATTATGGAACATGATTAGTTACACATTAAAACAGCCCTAATTCAGAGCAAAAAAACCATGTATATCTTTTTCATTAAAAGATGTTTCATGTTAAGGTTAACTGCTAACAGAAATAGATTTCATAGTGTTTTTGAGAGTTTTATTTACATTAGCTTAATATTTTTAAACTGCATCTGTTATTATCACAATATATCTTACTAACTTCTAATTCATGTAAGTTATAACATTTCTATGCTCATAAAAATATTTGATTCCCTCAAAGTATGCTGACTACACTGTATTTATATGCCTGAGTTCAATAACTTTACAACTAAAATATTTATCTTTTCAAGGCTTTGAGACTTACATTTGATCAAGTTCACTTATGCAGATAAAAACTTTGAAGTGTTTACCTTACATTCAATAAGGTGAATATTTGCCAGCTACAGATATTTTCTTGTTTTATATTATACTCTTATATTACAATGATCATTTACATAAACTTGACTCAATGTGTTGCATGATGTTACATATTCTGTAGCAAATACTGAAAAGATGCATGTTATCAAAATAATAATGAAAACTAACAATGTAATAAACTCTTTGGTGCCATAATGAACTAAATTTAAAGTATAAATTGCAGAAGCATATATAAATGTAGTATCCTTCAATCTTTCATATTAAATACAAAAGCAATGCACACTTAGTGTCAATCCACTACACATAAACTACAACTTACAAAACTACTACTTCCATCACATCTAAAATACTATTGAAACACAATTCTAGAACAACTTTCTTACCATTACATCAAAACTACATGTGTTATTTACAATATCACTGCAGAGTAGTTCTTCCATTACAGTTACAACAGCACTGAAAGTTCATTGTTTTTCTATTCATAGCTGGCCTTAGTGTGTAGGCAAATTGGGAATTTACATAAGGCAGTAAGAAAATCAGAAATAATATGAAAATTCAAGTAACAGAAAATTAAAGTCTGAACAAAGGGGGAAAAACAAGTCAAAGAAAGGGAAGAATAAACAATCGAGAAAGTAAGATGTGAGAGTACAGTATAAATGTTACACTGAAATCTGTGTTGAGGGATTTCAAGGCAGTGAAAAAATGTGAACATGTGAAAGACACCATTGAAAAAAATATAGGTTAACAGTGAGAAATAACAGAGTGCTGCTAGTGGATTTTTTTGTCAGATAAGGCATTATTTAAACTAGAACAAAAAAAGGAAACAGTAAAAAACTCTTTCACAATGAAATGAGTAATGATAGCCATGCCATTAAACTTTTAAGAAATTCTATGCAGTGGCCAAATGATATAAGAGATGACTTCAAACAACTACATGTACTAAAATGATCACTGATAATCAGATTTTTTTCATTCTCACAGTGGAAATACATAGCAAAATTGCATGAAACTTAGTAAAAAGTTACTAAGTAGTATCTAGTTTTTGATCTAGTATTTCCATCACGTTTTTAGGTTGAAAAATTTCTTCACTTTTGTTGTGAGACAACATTTTGAAAAAAATATTAAAAACACTTACTTTCATCTTAAAAGTTAAATTTTTAAAATTTCTTTTGATAGTTGATTTTGCTACCTTTGTCATTTATGTATCAATTTTTGGTCAAGATAAATTTTTATCTAATAAATATTTTTTTTTCTATTGTAATATCAGTTATTCTTATTTATATTTGTATTGTCTGAATACAATAAACTTAATAATAATAATATTCAATACTTAAAATTTAAGGAAATGAAATATTTATCCATAACTATCATACTTGATGAACTGAACTTAGTTTACCTTTAGTCTTGTCATAAAGAAATTTTCTGTAGCTTTCAAACATATATAATTTGGCATAAAATTATTTTCAGGACTGAAAAGAATGTCTAAAGAAAATATTAAAAAAATCCCAAATCTGTGATTTGTTCTTAAGTCAAGGCCAGCCAACCCAAGCTGCCCAAATTTGATGAACAGAAAGATGACATGGATGCTTTCCTGAAGAGATATGAAAGATTTGACCAAAGTCAGAACTGGGTCAAAGGTGACTGGGCAGTCTGTCTCAGCCCCCTTTTCACAGGAAAAGGCCTACAAGTATATGCAAGCATGATGTCAGAAGATGTCATGGACTATGACAAGTTAATAGTAGCCTTGCTGAAATGCTATGAACTTACAGAAGAAGGTTTTCGTCGGAAGTTCAGAGAAGTCAAACCTGACACTGGAGAAACTGTATTTCAGTTTGTGGCATGTCTATGGCAATACTTCACAACATGGACTGAAATGGCCAAGTGTGAAAATAGTTTTGAGGGACTACCAGATCTACTAATATGTGGACAAGATGATCAAGCTGAAAGAACTGTATATGGAAGCCCACGGAGGGAGTATAACTGGCAAGTCCAAGAATAACCAATTAAAGTCAAAACCAGTGATGGCTAACCTGAAGCAGGAGTCCATCAAAGATGCTATATATGTTATAAAATAGGGTACATTGCAAAGGAGTGCAAGACAGACACCAACAAGCAACAGCAGAAATCTCAACATAAAGCAGCTGAAGCTACCTACAAAGATGGTGCTGGCAAAAACAACAACAAACCACAACATGCCAGTAGGTGAAGGTGCAGCAGTGAGAACCAGTCTAGTATCTGATAACCAGATGACAGGCAAGGTAGATCTGTGTGTGCTGATTGATGGAACAGTGAGAAAGTTTCTCATAGCAAGAATAAAGCTGGACCTTCCATATTATGTGGGAAGCCTTGATTCCATGTGTATGAAGGCATACATCTATAACTTGGTGATTGGAAATATACCAGACAGTAGATGTTTGGAGGAATCAGACAGAAAGAAGGGGGATGAAGAATTTGTAGTCACCACTAGAGCTCAAAAATGAAGAGCAAGCAAGACATCAAGCCCCTGCAAGTATCAAAAGGCAACATCTTGAATGTACGTCTGCAGGAATTGAAGGAAGCACAGAAGAAAGACCCTTCACTGCAGAAACTTTGGGACAGTGTCTGGGAAAAAGTCAAGCACAAGACAAAGGGGAAAGAGACTTACAGAATAGAGGACCAGAAGAAACTGCTGTACTGATCTATCATGCCAATTATACTGGGGATGTTAATCAGATCATGGTACCAACAGAATAAAAGACTCAAGTTATGAAGCTGGTTCACAAGTCAACTGTGGGAGGACACCTAGGAGCAAAGAAGATGGTAGACAGAATCACCAGCAACTTTCATTGGCCCGGGGCCATCGGAGATGTGAGCAAATTTTTCAAGTCGTGAGATCTGCCAAAGGACAATAGCTAGAGGGAAGATAGCCAAGGTGCCACTGGGGAAGATGCCTCTCATAGAAGAGCCATTCAGCAGAGTAGCTGTAGACTTGATTGTACCACTAGCTCTTGTTTCTGACAAGGGCAACTGGTATGTGATGACAGTAGTTAATTATTGTACATGTTATCGAGAAGCTATAGCACTGCCAAAGATAGAGACAGAGAGAGTAACAGAAACCCTCCTGGAAGTGTTCTGCAGAGTGGGCTTTTTCAAAGAATCCCTGAGTGACAGAGGGACCCAGTTTACTTCAGAACTGATGCAAGAGGTGTGCAGACTCATCAGTACTAAGCAACTCTTTACAACCCAGTACAACCCTAGATATAATGGACTTTGTGAGAGAGTCAATGGAGTCTTAAAAAGCATGCTGAAAAAGATGTGCCAAGAGAGACCACATGACTGGGACAGGTACCTGCAGGCAGTATTATTTGCTTATCGAGAAGTCCCACAAGTAAGTACAGGATTTTCACCCTTCGAGTTACTGTATGGAAGAACAGTACAAGGTCTAATGCAGATATTGAAAGAGCTATGGACAGGAGAAGATGAGTCAGAAGTGAAGAACATATACCAGTATGTGTTAGACCTCTGAATCAACTAAAGGAGACCTGTCAACTCACTCAAGAGAGCTTGTATGCAGTTCAAGGCTGTCAAGAACTTCTATGACAAGAAGGCCAAGGGTTGACATTTCAAGGTTGGACAGAAGCTATTAGTTTTGCTACCTACAGGCAACAACAAACTCACCCTGCAGTGGAAAGAACCTTTGAAGTACAGGAAGTGGTCAACAGAATCGACTAAAAGGTGAAAGTGAATGGGACAACCAAGATCTACCATGCCAATCTGTTGAAGAGGTACTTCAAGAGGGAAGAAGACATAACGGGTACAGCTTTTGAGATACAGATGGATGTTGCAGGTGTGGCTGTCATAGACACAGAACCAGAAGATAGTGACTTTCTCATAGAAGATGAAGACCTACTAGACCTAAGACCACTGGGTGGAAATGAGACATACAAATATGTCAACATTAGTGAAGAACTGACTGGCAAGCAGAAGAAAGAGCTAAGAGATCTACTGTGCCAGTATGCAGATGTCTTCACAGATATACCAGGGAAGACAGACCTCATGCAACACAAGATCAAGACCACAACCAGGGATCTAATCAAAGTGAAGTCCCTATCCAATGCCCTATGTGATGGAAGCCCATGGAGGGAGTATAACTGGAGTATAAGTCCAAGAATAACCAGTTAAAGTTGAAAT